AGCATCTTTATCTACTAAAGGGTGTTGCAATAACTTGGACCTATTTATGATTTTTTTCTTTTTCTTTCAGATTTGGCGGATATTTGGGCGATTTTTCACACATAATTGCCATGACTTAAAAACCTGCCAAAATGATCTAATGCTTTCATGTTTAACTAAATATGTAGATTTTTTTATATGTATATAAAGCAATGGGAATGTTTTTAATTTTCGAACACGGTCAGCACGTTGTGGCCGTGTTCATATTACTGGTCAACAAAAAAAACAATTTGAAATGGTGTCGAGACACCAAACATCATTTTTTTTTAGCTAATTTGAGGGCGCTGAATCTGAAAAGGACCTTACTTTTTCTTGCTTAGCTACCGTTTTTGCTGTACAGAAATGCCTCATTTTTGGAAAAAAGCAATTTTTCATTTGTTTTCTGTATATATGATAATGACCGATGTCAATATTTCTCAAAATAAAATCATAGCTACCTATCAATTCGTATTTAAACCAACAAATATTGGTCTGCTTATTAAGAAATACTATTTTTGCAATAACAATCGGACACAATTATAAAATAACACCATTGAATATACCAAAACCAAAAAGTATTTTCCTCAAATTATTTAATAAACTAACAGCAGAAATAAAACCTTCATGATCATAAGAACTATGGTAAAGATTTTCTCTTTCTTGATGATCTTTCATGTTCAATGTTATTGAAGTCCCTTTTGATACTCCAGCAGTATCTTATGTAATGGAATAGGTGCACTCAACTGGGATGTCTTCAGTTGGAGATTCTTTCCAAATGTGAAAACAAAATGCTCTAAAGTGCTTGGTTTCCTTTCGTCGTGATGAGATAAATTTATGAATATCAAACAGAAGATTTTAGAGTTTCATTTTTTTTTTGATGTCACCTTAATTATCAGATTTACTAAAGGTTTACTGATAAAGTTTTGAAATTTGTCGATAAATTGGAAAAATTCGTTACTTTTAAAATTTTTGACTTAAAAACACTTTTTTCTTATAAAAATAGTTTATTTCAAGTGGCTGACATAAATTGCTCGGTCTAAGTGATTGTTTTCTACGACATTTATTAACTAAATTTTGCGATCAGCCAAGATCTTAAATTGATCTTTTTTTCTAAAAGTGAGCAATTTCAGTGCAGCAAAAATGGTAGATAACTATGAAAAACTAAGGTCATTTTCGGAATCAACACCTTCAAATTAGCTAAAAGACGTGTTTTGTTTCTTGGCATTAAAAATCGTGTTGACCAGTGTAACTAATATTACTAAAAGTCAGTTTCTTTTCTATTGTTAACGCATCCATTATTTTTAATTTTTTTTTTTTTTTTTTTTTTGCATATATATGAAAACAACAGATTTATATTACAGATACAGGAATCAATTTGTATTAAAAAATTAAAGCCGGTACGGAACAGAATTAACTATGAATACTACTGGAATATTCTGAAATGCCTGTAAAGAAACAGTTTTTTCATGCTTTAATGCGCGCGTGACCATGACATTATAACACAGAGAGAAAAAATTCCATAATGGATAATTTTTTCACGTTCTAATGAACGCTCAGCACATTGTCAACCGTTTTGAATTTAAATGCATAACGAAAAAAAAAATGGTAATGGGTAACAACGCACACCTTCGTATAAATGCTTGTACTTACGAACAACATATAGATTTGTACCATTGCATCCCTGAAGATGATCTTGGAAAAAGATCGAAAGTACTTGGGAAATGAAAATAAAAGAAATTTAAACAGCTATAGCACATTTCTTTCGTCCTTTAACATTAATTCACGGAAGTTATTCGTGAGTATGAACGGATTTTGTTAAAAATTAGCAGACATAATACCTGTAATTTATTCAATCTGACATGCCTAAAAAAGAATTTACTGCCTAAATACACAAATTTATATATATATATATATATATATATATATATATATATATATATATATACTTTTGGGTGTGTTTGGGCAGCAATTTTGACATACAAATTTGCTAATCAAAACCATAAGGACTAAAGAAAGTTTTTTGTTAAGGATTTTCTAGTACCATACAAGTTCCCTCTGATGGCCATCTAGGAAACATACACAAATCGTCGGCACTGTCATGGGCTCACCTGTCGCTCCAACAATGACAACCCTAGAAAACGAAACTTTTCAAAAACATCCCAAACCAAAAATCTACTCGCGTTACTTTGAGTATATCTCCATACTAACAACACACGCGATATAAAATTCTGAGAGCAACTTTGAATAATAACTCTGCCCTTAATTTCACATATAAATTAAACGTAAATAACAGAACTCCTTTTTATCGAGCCGTTTAATGTGTCATCTATCTAATATTACCTCAATTAATTTACGTATCACCAAACAACACAACAGAAGAAATACAACAAGCAATCCTACTTATCCTTACCAATAACACAAAGGTGCTATATCGTAACTAAAAGCAGCCATAATCATATAAATCAAGTAATCGACCATTAATAAAATTATATCAAATTTAGGAACAAACATCTATATAATAAATGCGAATGTCAGTGTATCACTGTGTCACATTTTTCGATTTTATTCAGAGAGGTAGTAGCCCAACATATACCATTTTGGAATTAGGCTGACTCCGTGAGCAAATTAAAAATATTCCGGGCCGGATCCGGAAACGTAGTCCTGAAATTTTGAATTCCCAAATTTTCATTACTGCGATTGTTTTAGGAGATTTTTGGACCTTTTATTTTTAAATACTTTTATTCTAACGATAAAAAGGACGAAAGGTGTAGCATTTATATAACAAATGCGAATATCAGTTTGTTACTGTGACACAGTTTTTAATTCAAGGGATACAACTCTCTAACTTTCAATAGCTCATCTTCTTCTATATAATAAATGCGAATGTCAGTGTGTCACTGTGTCACACTTTTTGAACTTTACTCCTAGAAGCCGTTGCACAACATATCACACTATTTTGGAATCAGACCGACTCCGTGAGCAAAATAAAAATATTCCGGACCGGATCCGGAAACGTAGTCCTGAAATTTTGAATTCCCAAATTTTCATTGCTGTGATTGTTTTCGGTGATTTTTTAAGTGATTTTTTTCTTGCGACGAAGTTTTTTTTTTGTTTTTGTTTTTTTGTGCGATAACAATTTTTATAACTTGGAAATAAATTTGGTAATAATCGAAATTAATTGAAAGTCACCAGTGAAATAAAAATAATTGTTTGTACAGAAAGTAAGGACCTACATACATCAAATTGTCTATAAATTAAGTGGCAGCAGAAGAATTATCGTTGAAGGTAAGCTTAAATATTAATGCAATACTTAAATGCAGCATTAATTTTGACTTCTGTAGTTTATAGTTACTATTGCATCAACTCTTCCCGAATTATTGTAATGAATGCCCAATCAAGAGACCTCTGCAATATGTAGCTAAAATGCCGTCCGATATGGCGGTTTTTAAACTAGCAGTAAATATATTTCAATAATAATAATATAAAAAAACAGACGACACGAACTATGACGTGAACACGTGGAAACTCACGCGATACTTGAAAATGAAGTAAACTCTGACATCATAGCCCCCGAAGCCCTACATTTTTTTCATAATGGCTAATGATAACCGAAATTATTCAGATACACGTCCAGTGAAATTAACTTTATAACATTTCAAAATGACAAAATAAAATAAAAAATTTTCTCTCTGATATTATTATTACTATTTTATTTCCTTTGATTTCTGGTATGTACACATTTCTTTCCGGGTCCCGTTCACAGACTTAAGGTTAGAAATGGCACCATGACATTTTCCACTGACCAATTAAACAAAAACAAAGAAAAAACAAAAACATAGTAAAATTCGTAAAATGTGGGCTGTACTCAAGAAAACAATTTTTTGTATTTCTTTAAGGCATGGGCTTCCAGGAATCCCTTCAATGTGTCTACTGGAATCTTTTCCAACCAATCCGAGGGCTCCAACTACAACAGGGATTTCTGATGTTCCCATGTGCCACATTTTTGAGATTTAGATTTCATTATTATTATTATTATTATTATTATTATTATTATTATTATTATTATTATTATTATTATCTACATATAGTAAGTATAATCCTACTTACTGAATTAAACCAATCTTAATTTCTAAGAAAGGATCATTAGTATCTCAAAAAGGAACTTTTCTCATCGTGAAGATGAATTTGCTTAAGGACACGTTATCAATTTTTACAGGCACAGCAAGTTTCTCCAGGACCCTTTTTATTTCTCATTATCATTGCCAGATTTCTCTTCCCTAAAACATTTGTCATGTTTATTCAAGTTCATTGAATATTTCAATTCAATTCTTGGTTACATTTCCTTTGTAAGGTGTATATAAAAATCAATTCTTTTCTATTTACAGAAAAAAAAAACTTTTTTAATAACAGTAATGTTCTTAGTAACGATGAACAGTGGTCAAAAGAACTAGAACTAAAAAAAAAAATTATATTGATTTGTGGCAATTCATACGTTGGCTGAAAAACGTCATAAAACATTGAATAGAAACGGTTGTCGGTTGAATGACATGTTTCAGTCAGTTCTTGCTGCCTCTATACAGGGCGTATCAAAAATAATTTTACTAACTTTGGGGGAAGGTTCCTCACATCAAAATAATAACAAAAGTCCATATAAACATATGTCCACAAATCCTTCGTTTTTGTGTCATAAAATTTCAAGAAAGCCCCACATCCATTATCATTCGCAGCCGTATGTAAAAATCACATCTGCCTGTTCACGACATGAAACTACTGCTATTGTTAAACGGAACACTTCTCAGATAACTCACTACTACACACGTTAAACGTTGAAGATAAACTAGCCACAAATGTACACGAATGACAAATGTAACCTAGTCTACATGACAACACAGCGCCATCTACCGTATACTTTCATTAAACTTAATAACTCAAAAACGAAGGATTTGCGGACATATATTTGTAAAGGTATTTTTGATACATACATACATATATATATATATATATATATATATATATATATATATATATATATATATATATATATATATGGGGTATATAAATCTGACAAAAATCTTGATCATCTTTTTTATTATCTTTTCTGAGTAAATGGCATTAAATGATTCCTTTTCTGTCAATGTTGGTCGTAAATATTTTTTTCGTAGTGTTTATGAATAAATTCTTTGATCGATTAAACACTCATCTTTTTTTTTTTTCTCCAACTTTACACCGTTTCTTCTTATTTCCCATCAAAGCGCGACATATTTACTTACGACCTCCACACCCCTACCTGTCCTGTCGGTTAGACCAACGGGTAAGATACCCACTGTCAGTCGAGGGAGTGGAGAGAGAAAGAGAGAGAGAAAGAGAGAGAGAGAAAGATGGCTATGATATTTTTTTTTCAATCTCAGGTGCTTTGCAATCTTTTCGTTCCTTTGAATAGAGCATGTCATAAAACTTTTTCAGTATGAAAAATCAAGTGAAAAAAGAAAGAAGTCATTTGTCACCAATATAATGTCATTGGTGAATGTCCGTGTGGCATTCATCATCCTATTTGTCGGACTAGCGAGCAGAGTCAGTCGAAGACACAAAAATAAACAAATCAAACCACAAGGAAATAAAATGAAAAATCACAGAAGAAAAAATCAGCGTTTGTGAATAGAAAAAAAGTGTTAAATTGGAATCGCCCGATCAGCTTTGAATCATTCGTCTCCGCGTGTAAAAGAAATTATAACAAGAAATGAAACTAAAAGACAAGGCAATGTTTTTGTCGACCTGCTGAAGTCGGGATTTTTATACTAACTCGAGTATTTTATTACCTGACATCAAATTGTCAAGCGCCAATATTAAATCCTCCGAACGAAGCTAAAAGAATTAGATCTCATAGAAAAAAATCCTTCTCCATTATGCCACTTCTCATAATTTTCTTTTGGGACATAGAATTCGGTGTGAAACTTCTCTTTTATTGAAAGTTTGTGTGAGACGCTTCCATTTCAGACATTAAAGTTCACTGTGATTAAAAGAAACAATATCACATTATACAGTGTAACCCGGATATAAGAGAAACCCGGATATAAGAGAGATTTTCTCTGGTCCCAAATTAGAGCCTGTGTTAATGTATATAAAATAGACCAAACCCGGATATAAGAGAAACCCGGATATAAGAGACTTCTTCTCCGGTCCCGACAACTCTCTTATATCCGGGTTACACTGTACAACATAAAACTTAAGGCAGTAGAACAGAAGGCGTTTTACACTTAATACTTTTTACTCTTAATACTTAATATGTGTAAAAAGAATGACTCATAAATGAGAAATTTCGTATTGAAATAAACATGGCGTATTGTTATAAGATTTTAAGTTTGACACGTTATCTTTGATATCTATCTGCTACAGTGTGCAATCGATGTGTTTCTGAAGGTACGCGGAACTGCATTCAAATATAATATTTATTCGAAATGATAAAACTTTACCTACAACAAAACAACTGAATAAGAAAACTCTTTCTTGTTATATATGCCCGTTGCTTCATTTTTTCCACTCTTTACACACACACACACACACACACACACACACACACACACACACACACATATATATATATATATATATATATATATATATCAGAGGAATGAATTAATGTTAAAATGCTGATATAAAAACAAATTCAAATTTCCATAATATAGTTTTACCTTAATTAGCTACCATATTTCCATAATATAGTTTTACTTTAATTAGCCACCCCAAATCACTTCCTCTAACTCTTCAAATGTCGACAGAAAACCAAAGACTAATTATAATTTTCCATATTGAATCCCCCCTCTAAAACCTTTTAATACTATATTAATGATAATTTATAATTTCCCCTACTTGGACATCTCCCTAATCCTCTTTCTATTAATCCCTTACATCCTAGTATCTGTATATTTTAAATCTATTTTGGGATTCATTTTTTATTTCTCTTTGAAATTAAAAATTCATTTTTTTCATATAACCTCAAAATGGTGTCATAAGGTTAATATTCCGGTTTATTTTAATAAAATGTCTTCCCTTGAAGACATACCTTCCACCCTTCCCTGGCCTCTGTCTCGTGCCTTTCGTCTGACTGAAACATTGAAATGTGTAAATTCTTTATTAGATATTTTCGGCAAGTTGTATTCGTTAGCTTTCACAGCTAAATTCTACTTCTTGTCTCATCTAACTTTATAGACATGAACTCATTCCATACCTGGGTTGTTAAGACAGACGACAGATGTCATCGTCTGCTTAAATAGGCTATTCCTCATATGAAGTAATTTGGGATTTATTTGTTTATTAATTATATTGCTATGTATTAATAAATACATCGTTTTTTTTTTGTGGATCAATATTAATATTTTATATTACTAGGATCCACTTGCATTATATACCAAAGGATTTTATATTACTTATATATATATATATATATATATATATATATATATATATATATATATATATATATATGTGTGTGTGTGTGTGTGTGTGTGTGTGTGTCTGTGTGTGTGTGAATTTTTTAATAATTTCACTCCAAGGAAGGCAATAAAGCCACTAAGACACAAGGGGTTATTTATTGTGAAAAATACAAGAAAAAGGGTTATTAAGGAGTGAGAACAATAAAAACAGGAAACAAGAAGACTGTAGATAACGATTGGCAATGCATTAAAATTTTTGAAGATTAAAGTTGGCTTGAAAGCAAGAATTCGGGAGAGAGTTCCACAAATGAGAAGTACGAGAATAGAAAATGTTAGCGTCCAGCTTACAATTACATTTAGCCACTTCAACTGCAAAATGATGAGACCTTGCCGCCAATCTAGTACTGCGATTAAATTCATAAAGTCTAGATACCATAGAGGAAAGTTGATTAGGACAATTACTATGAAAGTATTTACAGAAAAGGCACGTTACGGCAGATGGAAAGTGACTGAAGCCGAGATGCCAGAGCAGGATCAATAAAGTGAACAACCAGAGGCAACAGTCTGTTTTATGCCTAAATGAAATGGTCGAGCAAAAATACAATGCATATAGCTTGACAATTGAAGGAAATAGACTGTGGCTACTCGGTGTTGAACTCAATGTCCAATTATCTATCTCTATCTCTCTCTCTCTCTCTCTATATATATATATTATTTTATTATAAGATATATCAAAAACATGATAAAATCACTACACAATAGCTTTCGTGCTTCGGCACTACGTTGTACCTCTTCTGATGATAAGTGACTTTGCGTTTTCTCACCCCCAACTTTATCTTTCGGAAAAGAGGTAAGACTTTGCTTTTGAAATTTTATTAAAAGTTATTTAATCACCAGTCACTTACCATCGCCTGAAGAGGTACAACGTATTGCCGAAAAACGAAAGTTAGTGTGTAATGATTTCAACGTGTTTTTGTTATAATATCTTATTTCAAATCTTGCTCGACTTTATATAGAGCCCATCTGGATATATATATATATATATATATATATATATATATATCCATATATCCAGATGAAAGAACAGATGGGCTCTATATAAAGATAATATATATATAAATTGAGAGACATTTTTATGTTTAATATTATTTTTATAGATACAAATATTTAAGTAAATGCTCTGTTTATAATAAACAGTATTAAATAACATTTACCGGCCTAAATGTCCGAGAGATTTTCATAGAAAATATTCGTCCTCTGACAGGATTCGAACCTGTATCCTATACGGAACCGTTATATAGCCTGACGTGCTTTTACCGATTTCGCCACAGAGGATCGATCGGTTAGCAAGGTCGAATTTACTGCTTTTAAACTTCAATTATCCATGAATCTCTCACATATATTCATGTCTGCTCATGGCGTATCAAATGTAAACTAATGACGTCACACATTATGTAATGGACAAAGTCCAACAATTATTTTAAGACATTTTTATGTTTAACATTCTTTTTATATAATTGCCGGTGTTGGAAGCTAAATGGGAATCAATAATTCGAATTCTGATTTGCGAGCCACAAGCGCTACAACCACGACGTATCTCTCTTTTAGACATTAAATCTGTGTCCTTGTAAATTTACCCGAGTACAATCAAAATAAATTACTATCGCAGTCAACCATGTGCCTACCCGTGGGTCTGCTTTTTGACGGAATAAATAACGACTTCTCAGTCAGTAAAAATAATTACCCTTCAAACTGCAATAGGAGATTGAATTTCCGAGGCAGTTGTTCAAAATCTTCTAAATCAATATTTAAAGTTTGACTTTGAATTTTGAAGATAGACATTCATAATTTATCATTTTTTTTTTTAGCCAACAATCTAATCCAAGTCAAGTAGATATAAATAGACAGACAATGAACGATATATATATATATATATATATATATATATATATATATATATATATATATATATATATGATATCTAGTCTTAAAAATGAGAGTTATTTAAAAGGATAAAATAGTTCAATATCAGAGATTGCATATAATGTTTGAAAGACTGAATTCAGGAGCATTGTCCTAACGAAACAACTTTTATTTTTTTTTTTATATGCCTGATATCTTGATATTTTCTTTAGTAAACGTCACTTGAAATTGGCATAATATATTGCTGGCGTCAACAGACATTCACACACACACACACATATATATATATATATATATATGTATGTATCTATGAATTCCTATATATATTATTTATATATATGCATGGTACATATTGGAACGTTCTCAATATCAGTAATAGAGACTAACATTTTTTGCGTTGATGTGAGTTTGTCTGACCCTGGGTTTCACTCCTTTGTGATCGTCATATATATATATATATATATATATATATATATATATATATGTGTGTGTGTGTGTGTGTGTGTGTGTGTGTGTGTGTGTGTGTGTGTGTGTATGTCAATAATAACATTTTTCACTATGAAAATATTTAAAAACTGTCCATTTTTTCTTTTTATCCTAGCGTTTTCGGCTATACATTTAGCCATTTTCAAATTCATTATTTTTAGCCCTAGCATGCAGATGATGCTATTATAGTTGTGCTGTCAACAAGTATGTTACGAATTTGGTCCGGTATTTATTTATTTCTTGTTAACAGTTAATATATTTCAACCTTGAAAATGGCTAAATGTATAGCCGAAAGCGCTCGGATAAAAAGAACAATTGAATTTATATATATATATATATATATATATATATATATGTCAGTGTTTTTCAAAATAAAAAAAAGACCTCCATTACGCTATATATATATATATATATATATATATATATATAAAATGTACACATTCAGTTAAAAGAAAAATTTCTTTGATAATGGCTAATAGAATAACCAAAAGAGCTCGGATATATTGTTGTTACACATTTAAAGGATGCGATGCATAAATTGTAGTCTAAACTACGCAAAAATGAAAATAACACTGATATCACATTTTAACAGATTAATTTATTAAAATTACACAAAAAAATACGTTAGTGGCTCGGAGAACTCAATTCAATTCGTTGAAGAGCAATACATACATACGTATATATATATATATATATATATATATATATATATATATATATATATATATATATATACAAATCCTTTCATTTGAAATGGGGTATTTTATCTTCGAATGAGGGTTATCTATGGCCACCTCGTAGAATGGTTTTGATTGTCTTTCTTACTCAAAATGACCGCTTTCAACTTACCAGAACCTTTATTTTGCTAGTGCATTCTTCATAGACCCAAACTGATGAAAATCTGAGCGTATCATGTCAGGACGGTAGGGTAGATGAAGCAGTGCTGCCCAGTTATGTGTTGGGATTGTTTGTCTGGTCTTTAAGCCGCTGTGAGACTTTGTATTTCCATCTTTCAAAAGCCCATCACTTATCTTCAAATGAGAAAAATCCTTACTCTGAGTTTTTGAATAAGGCGTTTAAAATTCCATTAAAACAGGCTTTTCATTTTGATCCCTACTTGTGTATGTAGAGTAAGTAAAGAACAAACTGCGAAAACGCCTTACTGAATGATAGATTAAAAAATGAAAGAGAAATAGATAAGGAGTTTCTAGTGTCGATTGAAATTTAAACGAAATCTTTCCGATATCCTTTCACTGATGTTACAATCTAAACTGACGCTCCACATCAGGAAATTTTCTTTCAACTTTGTTTTTGGCTCCCAAATCAGTTAATCAATAAACAAATGTGAAAACAACGCCTGCTATTTACTGCCAACATCAAACACATTTCCTCCACACGACAGTCGCTTACAACAACGAAACTAAATTCTTTTGATATCATATTTATCAAAACTCTCCTCGATTTTTGTTCTGATTATTTAATTATTCAATAAGTAATTATGTTTGTTTTGGCATCTGCTTGTTTTCCTTCTACAAAAAGCGATTTGTCTGATAGCCATATTTATCCTTTTGCTGTCAAACTGTGAAGTGGACTGTAAGAGAGCGATAAACAAAACCAACACTCAAAGCAGAAAAGAAGGCCAAGTCCATGCATAATATTATCTTTATGAAGGTTTTTCGATAAAAATTCTAATTTTTCACGGCCTTATAAATGAGAATTATGCCGTCCATGTTTATGAACAAAATCTTTCCAACTACTATTTGGAAATCATTGACCGATTCGTTTTATCCAAGAAAAGCATCGGTTCCATTTGACTTTTTAGTCACCCTGGAACCCTATAGCCCTGGAGGGTCGGGGGGGGTTAGAGAGCGGGACTAAATCTGTCAACTATTCCACCCGTCCGCATATTTGTATCATCCTGTCCGTATGTCCATGCGTGGATGTTTTTGACTGACAGTTGCATGGAACAACCACTGCTCAATTTTTTCTTTTAGTAACAATGAGCCTCGTCAACTAGGCACTATCTTTGAGTTTTTTTTCTGAGTGAGAAAAAGCATTTTGAACTCGGAAATTGTCAATAGCAATTTGTTCGTCGCTCTTTCCCTTTCTCTCCTCTCTCCATGTTCTAATTAAGATCTCTCACTTCCTCTCCCCTCTCTCTCCTCCATCTCCCTCTCTCTCTCTTCCTCTCTCCCCTCCCTCTTCCTCTCTCAAAAGACTCTCTCTCCCTCCCCCCTCTCTCCCCTCTCTCCCTCTCCCTCTCTGTCTCCCCCCTCTCTCTCCTCTCTCTCTCTGTCTCCCTTTCCCTCTGTCTCCCTCTCCCCCTTTCTCCCGCTCCCTCTCTCTCTCTCGCTCTCTCTCCCTCTCTGCCTCCCTCTCCCCCTCTCCCCCGCTCCCTCTCTCTCTCCCTCTCTCTCCCTCTCTCTCCCTCTCTGTCTGTCTCCCTCTCCTCTGTCTCCCTCTCCCCCCCTTCTCCCACTCCCCTCTCTCTCTCTCTCTCTCTCCCAACTCTCTCTCCCTTTAAATGCTCCCTCAATTCTCTCTCTTCCTCTTTTCCCCCTCTCTCTCCCTCTCTCCATCTCTTTGTCCCTCTCTCTCTCCCTCCCTCCCCATCTCTCTCTCTATTTACTAAGTTTAACTTAGACTGGTATAAGGCTTTGTTAATCGGACAACAACTAAAGATCCAACTCAATGTAGTGCTGAATGGGCTTGCAAGACAACTAGTGTTAACCGCCACACTATGCAAATTACAATTAAATTTTCTCTTTCCATTTCTCTCGCTTTGTCGCTATATTGAATTAGCACCTCACTTGAATTTTCAATACTTAAGGTTTAAAATGAATTTTTAAAAATTGAAAGCTAAACGATTAAATTTACAATTTCCATTTCTATTAGCAAAAATAAACTTGTATTTTCAAATAGAAATTTACAGATTGGAATTGTCAAATTTAATTTCAAAAATTAAATTTTTTTAAAACATTTTTAATTTTACATTTTGTAAACAAAAGTTAATTCTCCGTTTTTAAAATCTCCCAAAAATAAAAAACTTTTCTGAAACTTTATTTTAGTAAAATTAGCTGTTTTAAAATATAAATTAATCTGATTTGAAAAAAAAATTACTTTAACTTTAAAATAACAGATAAATTGATTTTTTAAAAAAACGGTCCCGGTTTGATTTGTGATTACGCGTTTATCACCGTCGTTTGTAACTCGTAGAATAATTGACAATAAATGTCAACATTTTTAAGTTGTTTTTAAAAGATTTTATTTGTTAAAACATAATTTAAGAAAATGACAATACATAAAAAAAAATTTTTTTTCTCAAAATCTTAAATATGTTGGAAAATATCCTCCAAAATTTAATTTTAGGAATTTTAATTTAATAATATCATCATTCTTATTTTCTGATTAAAATCGTAAAGGTCGAAACCATACTTTCAAACAGGGACAAATTAATGGCAATTTTTATATACATAAAAAAAATAAAGATCTTTTTTAAAAAATTGGGTAAAAAATTATTTTATTGAGCTGTAACAATTTTATTAAACGTAAATTTGGATTCGTAAATTTTTTCCATTTAATTAAAATATCACCTAACTGGATTAAAGTAATACAGAATTTTAAATGATTTTAAATATTATAAATTATTATAATTAAAATTTCTAAAAAAACGAAAAAATTCTTGTAAAAATTCATTATTCATCAGAAAAAAAATTATTTTTTCTTTAAGACAATAATGTCCTTAATATATACTTATTTATAAAAACAATTAAAAGCTTTTCTAATTAAATAATGTCATAGTTTTATTGGATTTTTTATTTTTCAATTCAGAGCAGATTTTCAGTTATGAATAGCTCAAATTTGAAAAAAAAAAAAAAGGTTATTTACATTCTCCAAAGAGTCCTTCTTTTAACAAAAAAAAAAAATTTTGGAAATGCAATTTTTTTTCTCAAAATTTCATGAAATTAAGTAAGTGGTTGAGTAACATATTTAAAAAAATATTTTTTACCAAAATTTTCTAAAAAAAAATTTTTGCAAAATAATTTCATTCATTTTTGAATAAGTCCTGAAAATTTCATTAAAATTGGACAATTATTTGATTTTTACAAGAATTTCCAAATCAATGTGTTTTCAACGGAAAAAAAGTAAAAAAAAAAAAATTTATTTTCGTAAAAAAACAAAAAAGATTTTTAACCAAAATTTCGAACGTGTTAAAAAGGATTAAATTTCAAAAAATAATTAAAAATACTTTTGGTCTTTCATCTTAATAATAACATAAACATTTTGACGATAAAACTTTATTTTTATTAAATTTGTGGCCTTTTTCATTTACGCTATGCTGTTTTTTTTACAGTGGGAAAGTGGAGGTTTATTAAATTGTTGGTTAATTAAAAAGTTCTCAGTTGTAAAAATTGAGAAAAATATATTTAGTCAAACATCTTCGAGGATAAAACTTACAAAAAAAAAAATTTATATGAAAAAGACACAAAATAAATATATATATATATATATATATATATATATATATATATATAAATTAACATGTGTGTGTGTGTGTGTGTGTGTGTGTGTGTGTGTGTGTTTTGACATGTGTCTGGTGTCAGATCATCTTGTTTATTTTGTATGTGCATTGTGCTTCATATTGCAAAATTTTAGAGTTATACCATATCTTGAAATCCCATTGAAAAGCCCTCGTATGGTCATCATTTAATGATTTAATTTTTATTTGTTGATATATATATATATAATCTATATATATATATATATATATATATATATATGACTGGACGCCTGGTTTGATTGGGAAAAATTTCTTTTATTACCATTGAAGATAATAATAAATAAAATTAAAACTATATAATGGGCTAGTTCTCACACCGGTTTCGAAACTACAGTCAACATTAAATCAAGGTTCATAAATGAATTAACACTAAGAAAGTTTTACAATATGTATTTTTTTTTAAAAATTGTTAAAATTTAGATGGAGTTGTGGTTATGCTTTATAAGGAGAACGACTCAGAGGCTGGATGTCAGAAAAAACAACACGTCCCAACGAAAATCCAATATATTAAGTAAAAATCATACATAAAATAATGGTAAAAAATATTTTTTTGTCTTTTATTTATAGCAATCATAAAAATTTTTATAAAAATAATCATATTTTTAAATATATATATATATATATATATATATATATAATTATTATTTTTAAAAATTATAAGTATGTTATAAAATCACTACAAAAATAGCCATTTTGTTTCAAATCACTCGGTGTCTTATCAATTGATGATGTTGAAGATAAAATAAATGGTTTTAAAATTTCAGATTAATTAACGATCCTACACTCACTTCCGTAAACATTGTTACAAAAGCTAGAATAACCAATCAAAAATAAGTATATATAAGATTTGCAAAATATTGACAACGAAATCATGTTATAATAGCTATTCAGATCTTTTTAATACATGTAATATTAAAAATAATTTATACTAACCAATAATTATAAAATTATATGATAAAATTTAAAATTAAAATTAAAAAACAAATTTTAAAATCCAAATTTAATCACTATTAAGTTTAAAAAAACTTTAAATTATTGAGAAAAAAAAAAATATATGTTTATTCAATTCATTTCTTCATTTTAATTACGTTCGACAAGACGCTAGAATATATCCGGTTTCATTTGACAATACATATATATATATATTTTTATTCTATAAGTATATATATATATATATATATATATATATATATCAACCCTGATGAAAAATAAAAAATATTTTGGTAAAATTAAAGATATAAATGAAAATATTTAAATAAGTATGGAACTAGAACTAGACTGTCTTTAATCATGAAACAAAAAAAACGTTGTGTCGTGTTTTTTCGAAGGAATTTTATTGAAAAAAAGGACACATAACATGTCTAAATTATTTAATTAAAATGCTTAAATGAAAATATCGAATAATTCCCATATATATATATATATATATATATTTATATAACTCAAATATATATATTTTTTTTTTATTGTTTTACAGGTTGTTCTTTTAATAAACACCTTTTAATAAGATTTCTTGAAAAATTTCTATCTTTTATATTCTGTTTAAATTAACGTTATCTTATATATCTTCGTATATATATTGCTATATTTTTAATTCTTTTAAGTTAATGTGATAACCGAACCTAAAAAAAACTTTACAAAGAGTTTAAAATAATAGCAAAATATAAGCAAAATTCTCATGATTCAACTAAAATGACATTTATCGTAGTAATAAATAATTTTGGATGAGTTCGCAAAAAACTTTTTTAAATCTTCATTGTTTAAAAAAAATACAAAATTACACCTAAAACAAAAAAAATATTCATTTATTTCCAATCGTTCTATCCGCTATAATAATGTTTTAAAAACAGTTTGAAAATGGTCGTATTAAAAATATTATCTTAATTATAAATATATATTATATATATATATATATATATATATATATATATATATATATTTTTATTAAAAAATATTTCCTTTATGTACATAAGATTTCATGTTTCAAAAAAATACCTGAAAAAAAACGACAATAATTATTAAAATTGTTGAATTGAGGTTTTAGTCTCGTTTCATTTTCAAGCGAATTTTTTATACAAACGTGTTCTTTTTCTATTTTCTCACCATTATATTTAATCTGTATTATACATAAAAAATATATATAATATATATATATATATATATATATATATATATATATATATATATTTATTTATTTTACTGTTTTTTGAAAACCATCCTCAATTTAAAACAAGGACAAAAAGACATATAAATTTATGTTACAAATCCATTCGTTTTGGGGTTTTTAATTATAAAGATGATGTTAACAGGAAAAATGAAATTTTGAAAAGACTTCTTATTTTTTCAGATTATAATATACAAATCACGTACAACATATTTCTATATCTTGGATGGCACCATAATCTGACGAAAAAGTAAAAAAATTCAAAACTCATAAATATTGGCATATACATACAAAGAAAGGATCACATTCAAAAATTCTATAATCACATATATTGAATAAAGACGACGACGTTAGATGGCGAAATATTCAAAATATATATTATTTTATATAAACTTGTAATTTGTGTCTAGTCTGTCTTCAACGTTTAATGTGTGTAGTATGATTAATTGAAGAAAGGTGCACACACACACACACATATTCATATCGTGATACAGGCAGATATATTTTATATATATATATATAATATAATATATATTCTATATATATATATATTGTATATCCATGACTATATATATCATTGGTTCATCCAACATGCTTTTATCATCGCGTTGCTAACATGAGTTTCCATATATAAGATTGCGACATCTCGCTCATACGCCTGTTAGGAAGAACATTTCGACAGGATTTCGGAGACGACCCAGGTATCAGCACGCGTTAACCTTACGTTTGTGTGTGCGTGTCGTATGATAATGAAATTCAATTTAATATATCTGAAATTACACAATTCATCGGAAAAGAAAATATAATAAATAAAATAATTCTCAACCAAAAAAATCTCCAAAATTGTTTTCTGACCCAATGAATATTTTTTTAAATTTACAAGTGAATAACGTTAGTCCACGTATATTTGACATCCAG